GGCAGGGTGCCGCCTCTCACGTTGCAGGATAGCCCCCAGGCTGCTGCTGCTCCTTTTGGCACATACATACCCTTAAAAGCTTTGCATAGAAGCAAAACAGATGGAAATCCAGCTACTCACCGGGTAGAGGAAGCTGTACTAACAGGCCATCCACATTGGCATCGTTATTGAGTTTGCTGATCAAATCCAGTAGCTCCTCTTCAGTGACAGAAGCCGGCCTGAGGATGGTTTCACTGCTGATTCCTGCGCAATCAATGGAAGAGCCTCGTTAGAGAGCCACACGTGCACAGACAGGAGAGCAACTTCCTTAATCCACAGGGATTTAGGCTGCCCTGTTTCATTGCTCTACTAAAGTAGAGCCCAGTTCTGGGCTCCCCACTTCAAGAAAGATGAGGAGCTACTGGAGAGAGTCCAGCAGAGGGCTACAAGGATGAGGAGGGGACTGGAGCATCTCTCCTGCGAGGAGAGGCTGAGGGAGCTGGGCTTGCTCAGCCTGGAGAAGAGAAGGCTGAGAGGGGACCTTAGAAATGCCTCTAAATATCTGCAGGGTGGGGGTCAGGAGGACAGGGCCAGACTCTTTCCAGTGGTGCCCAGCGACAGGACAAGGGGCAATGGGCACAAACTGAAGCAGAGGAAGCTCCAGCTGAACCCGAGGAAGAACTTCTTCCCTCTGAGGGTGACGGAGCCCTGGCCCAGGCTGCCCAGGGAGGCTGTGGAGTCTCCTTCTCTGGAGATATTCCAGCCCCGCCTGGCCGCGGTGCTGTGCAGCCTGCTCTGGGTGACCCTGCTTGGGCAGGGGGTTGGGCTGGGTGACCCACAGAGGTCCCTGCCAACCCCAAACATCCTGTGATTCTGTAAATCCAATAGACACACACCCAGGCTTGTATGCTTTGTGGAACAACGAGCACCTTCCAGGCTGGAGACCTTCACCAGTCTAGCTAGTTACGGTTAAGGACCATTAGCACCTGTGTAACAACCTGGGAAAAATGATGTGAAAGCAGAGACCCTCCGAACACAGGGAGGGCTTGGAGAAACCTAGCCATGTGTGCTACGATGAAGATGCAACTGCACATCGTGTGGTGGAAAAAAAAAAAAAAAAAAAATCACAGCTCCAAAGGCAGCTCTGGCTGGCAGCAGAGAACCCAAGGAGAAATTAAACCCTTTATTGCCCCTGACCCCCTTCAGCACGTTTTCTCCACAAGCCTACTTGGCTGAACACCGAGCAGGACCTCAGCTTGCAAGACTGGAAGGAATCACAGGGTAGCAAGGCTGCTGAAGGATGGTTGCACCTCGGGCAGTTGAGAAGAGGCAGCAAATCAGAGCCTTGTCTGTGCTTTGCCCTAGGAAGACTGCAAATCCGAATTACAGAGCTTGAGGTTGCCCTAAAGGATTCAAACAGCACAAGGAACACGTGAGCCGTGTTTAACTGCATCCCAGTGCAACAGTGAAGGCAGCCAAGAGTCACAGCAAATGCTGGGGCAAACGTGGACTGAGGTTGAAAGCTGCCAGATGGAGGCATCCCAGAAAGCTTCCCCCAGCCTCCAGCGCAGAGGACTCGCAACTACAGCAGGATAAAACAGACACTTGCTCCACTTTTTCGGAACAGAGCACAAGACGTACCGACATCAGCAGCTGCTTTGGTTTTGTTGAGCACGTAGGAGTGACTCGCTGGATTTTCACCAACGAGAACAACGCTGAGGTGAGGTCTCTTGTTTCCAGCCGCTACCCACTGCTCGACCTCATGACGGGCTTCTTGTCTGATCTGCCGGGCCAGCTTCCTGCCGGATATCACAACCGCATCGTTGCTGCAACAGAGGAAGCGGTACCAAAGCAGTCAGCATCGTTAGGACCATCAAATCCAAGCTGTGCGCAACACAGAGCAGGAAAAACAGATGCCAACCGCAAGCCAGGGCGGAAATGGCCGTTTCACTCGAGCTCTGTACAAGCCTAGCGAACCTTTAGGCTAAATCAGGTTAAGCAGCATTTTTCAGTCTTCGTTTCAGCTCTGCTGCCCAAAGCCGGGATCAGCAAACAAGGCTGCCAGGGCGACCGATTTATTCGTGCAGCCCGAGAAAGCGCACACACTGCTCTTCGCTGCAGGAGCAAGAGTCTGGGTGTATCCTTTACCTGCTGCGTGTTTCAAGCTACAGCATTATTAGCTCCCTTTTTGAGGGAGCCGGTCACCCATTCCTTGCAAAGGCATGGCAGCTTCACTACAAAGACTTACACAAAGCAGAACTCACTCCACTACAATGGAGCTTCCACCACCAGAGAGGTTTATCGAGTAATTCTGGCTCGTTGGACGCAGCGCAGGAGACACAGTGTGCCACGCTTCTGTACCGAGTGCTGTTCCCAGAGACCCCAGTCCCCCACAGATTCCTCGGCAAGAACTTCTAGCACAGCACACACCTCGCATGAGCCAGTCTCATGCTCACGTAACTGCTGCCACTGCTACAGTCGTGTCTTCAGGCTGGTAAAACCAGGCTGGGGTACGCGGTTTCACCCTCTCTGACAGACTCCAGCGCCTAGCAGGGACATTTGCCCGTTTGAACCACGTCAAAACAGTTCCTCGCACACATTTGTGGTCTAAATTGGTAACGGGAATATCCAGCTGCTGCCAAACACGTTCCAGGCAACTGGACACCCTGCAGTCTATAGAAAGGCTGGCTTGATCTACAGCGAGCTGGGAGGCCACAGCTGCCAGGCCCCGCTCCCAACAGGCTGGCCACACTCCTCACACTTGTCTTTTTCCTTCGGGTTATCACTATTACTCTCATTTGAACATCATTCTCTTTCACTAATCCCTCTGTGAGAGGATTCACCTTCACAAGCTTCACTTCTAGACTTCACTACAGCACTGAAGTCCTGCCTTGATGCCAGGTCTCATGACAAACACTTTACTCGCATGCCAAATTATCCCTCCCCCTGCGCCGGAGCAGGCAGAGATGCTCCCCACAGCGATACTGTCATCTACGGTGCCTTCCCAAATCGCAAGGACCAGCCCGTTTCTGAAGCTGTCACCAAGTGATACGCCTCACAGCTCCACAAGCTGCTCGCCTCGCCCCAGGAATCCAGGCGACGACTGGGAGAAAGCCCAACAGCACCCAGCGCAATGTCCCACCCTCCCCACGCACCGTCCAACGGAAGCGAGCTGGATTGCTGCGGTTTCTCCTCAAAAATCCATCAGCTGCCTGGCACGCAGACCTTCTCCTACCAGGATCCCACGTTAAGCCCAACGCTGCCGTTTTCTGACCTTCTCTAGGCACAAGGCTGATCCCCGAGCTGTGGGGACAGCCACCGCGAGAGCCGCTCCCGACCCACGCCTGCACGGGACAGCCCCAGGGAACCGTCCCAGGTAGGAAAGCCCTCTGCCTAAACACTTCAGGGATGCAGACAATCTTTTGCACTTTCTTCATCCCTGCCCTACTCAAATATTTACTTTTTCCGATTTACTGGGAATTAAGCGTTACTTCAACCCTAAGAGCAATCGCCCCACTCAAGCCTATTTGACAACCACCAGTAAAAACCCATCCCAGACCAGCTCAGCCCACTGACACTCTAATTCTTATTTTTGCTTCGGAGCCGAACTCCCACACACCCACTCAGATGCAAAAGGAATGATTACACATACCTGGCAAGCTGGGAAAAGGCAAATTCATTAAATCCGAGCCACTTCACGCCAAGAGCCCACCTGAACCCCTTCCCCCCATGTACACGCGAGGCCGGGGTGCCCAGCCTGGGGTGCCAGGGGTTGGGGAGAAGGAACA